CAGAATCTAGGCTAATCTGATCTGATCCACGGTAGGAAGTTTAATCTTTGAGGTGCAATGTGCCTCTTTTTATAGCTGAAACATGATTTAGACTTTCCTAGAAAGTACCTGCATAGCAAATTACTTCTCACAAGTTTCTGTAACATCAGGCAAACAGTCTGGTAGCCGACTTAATTATGAGTCGATTCTATTTTATGTTCCTTGATTAGTATCTCAAGAACGCTGTGTCAAGGATGTTATTGCAGTGCTCTGTATATTTATAACTTAAAGCTGGGTAAAATGATGAGATTGGATTTTATCTAAGCTGAGTTCTGTTGGCTAGGTAGGTATCATCCCTGGGGGAAAGCAGAGCCACGAGGAGCTCTACATGCTACAATTACACAGAGACTTTCCTCCTTTTGCCTGGCCTGAGGACTATTCAGTTCTAATATCTTACTGTGTAATCTCAAACTAAAAATAACAGTTCTGAATACCAGGGCTTCTACTGCGAAATCTGAGTGAAGGGCTGTCATCTTACATTAAGAGCACAGTTACTGAAAGTGATTACTTCATGTAGTATATTTGCCAGTCTGTCTCCTGTGTAATCATGAGGAATGCATTGACTTAAGAATAGCTGTGCATAAATAAGTTGTGAAAAAGTTTGGGAGACAGCTGGAAGTCCCTGCCATGACTGATAGGGGGGAGAAGTATGCCAGAGCCATCAGAAAGATGATATTTTGCATTATGTAATTCAGAAACTATGGGCAAGAATCTCAAGAATTCTTCAAAATAAGCAGAAAGTTGACACAAGTAGTAACACCAGTGCTTAAGCCTGAAGAGCAGATAAATACCACTATGTGTCACTGACTGAAGGTTATCGTGTTTTCTTGTAGAAAGGAGATGAGGAAATAGGTATTTGGGCTTGCTGTGGTCATTAAATACTTTGCTTCAGAGTATTCTGTGTTTGTCTATTAAGGCAACTCTTCTGAAGACACAGTCTACCAAATATGTACTGCTGGTTCCCTTACAGAGTAAAGCACTTCAGTTTTGTCCAGTCCTGAAGTGTGTTATGTTTGTTATTGGCTTCCTCTGTTCTGGTTAGATAAAACACAACCATATAATCTTTTCAGCGAATTTAAGCAATTTGGAATTGCATCAGAAAAGGAGCAACAGCTGCTTAGCTTGTCTTCGCTTGTAAACCTACATCAGAGCCAAGGTCACATACCTCCTCCCATTGAGCCTGGTGACAGATGTGTTGCTGCTTCTACAGGAATTTGTCCTTAAAATGTTTCTATTTCTTCCTCTCTGCCATGTCTAATTTTCTATTTTCATAAGTCATCCTACTGTCCAGGGTTTCCTTGCTGTTTCTCTCCTGTCTCCAGTTGGCATTTTGATTTCTTAAAGGATTTTCAAAAGGTTTGCTTGTATTATTTTAGCAAAGATTTGGTTTTGCCGAAGACTGGTTTAGTTCTTTAATAAAACATTGCTTTCCATTTTACTGTCAGATTTCTATCACAGATGGTGAAGGGAAATATTCAGAACTCCATTGTTCGTAATTTTTCTTAAAAAATTGTGATTTGCAATGAAAACTCGAAACATCTCACAGGAAGCTTTGTGTTTGCCTATGTTTTATGGACTTTTTTCTCCAAGTCCATGGGAGGGTGTTCAGGACCAGTGCATCTCTCTTTCGTGTTCTTCCCTCTGCATCTAGTTTGGTCACTGTGACAAGCAGGCCAGAGGAGAGGGCTGGACAAAGGCCAGAGGAATACTAAGTCGAACCCTCTATGGCTGAGCATAGTGTGTTCTCACCTAGAACAAATGAGAAATTGGTTTGTAAGCATAGTTACCTGGTTGTCAGAGACTGCCCCTTGCAAAAAGGGCCAAGGCACATCATCAGGTCAGTGTCGTGCGACTGAAGTGCCTGCTGTTCAGGCAGTACCTGCTCTGTGCAGCGTCTGGCTGCAGTTCTGAGTTCTGGTTGCCTGGCACCTTTTGTGAACACTAAATTAAATTTTCAAGTGCACCATTGCCAAGAAGTTACGAGGCTGGAAGAGATCTGTGAGGCACAAGAGGAAGCTGTGCGGAAAGAGCACTAAGTGAGAGGTTTTTCTGGACAAGATCTGTGCTCTGAGCTGTACGTAACTGCACTGAACTGGAACGTGTTAAATGATTGATAGGAGATGCAGGCTGTCTCCAAGCAGCACAGACCCTGGAGAGTGGTAAATAATGAATACAATTCTGCTGTTAGTGGTATGACTCACTGCTTGCTGTCTGTTGTTAGGGGCCAGAGGAGGACTGGGCATTGTCTCTAACCTGGATTGCAAGAAAAAACAGCTGGGTTTCAAGCTCTCACTGCTGCCTGCTTATTCTGTATCTGCTTGGATATGGAGGGTAGCAACAGCAGCTACTGGTAGAGGTGCAGCCTACGCAGGCAGGACACAGTCGTGTTGGGCAGTAGAGAACCTGGGCACAGAGGTTGTCTTCCTTGGCTCTGCTAGAAATTGGGGGAACAAATTCCAAGGATTTCTCCCTGTACAGAAGTCTAGGAAAGAGCTAGGGAAAGCCCTTCCAAGCAGCTGGGTGTTTGGATCAGTGGTGTGCAGATCAGTAGTGTCACTGGCAAAAATCTGATGCGATGCTTTATGCCTTTGTTCTACATATTTGATCAGGCCCAAAACAACTAAAAAGGGAAATCCTCCTTTTTTCTCCTCCTGCATAACGTTTAGAAAACCAGGAGCCACTTCTGCCTGATGTTTCCAATGGTAATGCTACTGCCAAATCTGTGCCAGTTCCACAGAATGGTCTTAGGGGCAGCTTAAGGAACAGACGTGCAGCATCTCATTACTCATGCACCATTCTCTCTTCTTTCTTTGCCTGTTTCTGGCTGGCTTTGCTCCCAAATGGGCATGGTGAGCAAATGTAGGTCCATAGCTGTGTTTTCTATTTCAGATGGGTAAGTCATGTTAGCCATGTGAAATGAGAGAAGTTAGTCCAGTATTTGTAAGGTCATAGGATTGAGAGACTAAACTGAAAACAATCAAAGCAATTCAACAGAAGCCCAAAGACTGCATGACTTCATTTATTCTATAGGTGCCTTTGCATTTTTAGCTCTTTGAGATTTCTGTGCAAATGAATAACTCTTGGATTTTATTCTGCAGTAAAACAGGAAGGAGCACCAAAATTCAGAAGTTAGCCTGTTCTTTTGCTGCACAATAGAAAAGCAGTATTTAGAATTATGTGGCTATTTGGCAGGTAGTGTACTGCACTGGCTAATGAGGTTAGCTTAGTTACATTAATGACTTCTGAGTCATTGACATAAATTGATTAACATTCATATCACACAGATCTTCTGTTTGTAGTAATACCGTAAACACTGTAGGAGGGAACAGTGGGGCAGAAGCAGGAGAGAAGAGGCAGGGGGAATAGAGGAGGAAGAAGGATAAGGAGTGAATAAACTCAAGGAAGAAAAAATATTCAGGGGAAAAAGATGCCAGACAGCACACCTGTGATTAGAGGGATTGTGCTTGAACACCTCCTAGGACTGCATTTAATGGAGTTGTGACAAGAGAGACTGAGGTCACGGCAGATTTGGTGGTTGTTCTAGTGCAGAAACCTTCCCAGGTGAAAGAATCCTAAAAATCCAAAGCCAGCAACTGGAAGCAACAGCCTTTGCTGCTGTGTTTTAATTGCTGGGCTAGTATAAATCTTCCTTTTGGTGACTGGACTACTCCCATGTTAAAGCCCCTCATCATCTTCTGTGGCCTGTTTTGCTTGTTTTATTGTTTGAGAATCTGGCAGCTGAGGAGTGAAAAATGGGTTTGATATTTTGTCAGCTGAAACGCTCTCAAGCTAATTAAACCTACTGCGCCTGCCCACTGAAGCCTTGCTGCCCTACCATCTTCTCCCTCCCAGTGCCAACCATAGAGTCAAGTTTCTTTTTTTCTTTCTGCTGGCTGTTCTGTGCCTGCCCAGGCAGCTGGTACTAATCAGCTAATTGCGTGAGATCTGGGGCATGTTTATATCTGTCCAGTGAGGATCAGACTCATGGACGTGTTTCCTAGTCTTGACCTCTGCAGCCTATGAGGATGGGGTTGTGGTTGTTTTGTTTGAAAGTGCTATTTTTCTGCTGCCCTATTTTGTTTTTTAATCCAGCAGCTAATGACTGCTTGCTGGTAAGAATACCAACACTTAGCAGCAACATCCTGCCTCTGTTTTAACTTTTCAGACATCTCTGTACTTACAGCCATTCCTTATTATTACAATTATTTTTCTCCAACACATCCACTTAACTAAAGGCATAGATGAGTTATCTCCCTGTTTAATCCTTCTTTCTTCTGTAACAAGTTTTCCTTTCTTCCTACTTAAGAAATTGAAAACAAAATGTATTAAGGTCTCTGGAAAAGTGGATAATTTCCTAGATCAGCCTCCAGTATTTATTACGTAGATCATTTCAGAGACTACACTGTCCATTCTTTATCCAGAGCAGTCTGTCGTGTGTTAGTTATCTGCCTCTTCCCAAGTGAATGTAATGACTGCAATTGCTATCAAACTTGCTTTCCTGTTTTCTACTCTGCTGCACCTGTCGAGAAGCCACACCTGTAATCTTGGTTGTGTTTTCTTTTTGTAAGAAAAAGCCCGTGTTCTCCAGAGCTGGCAAGCTGAGTAAATGAGCTGGCTGAGAATGCAAAGGAGACACCAGTAGGCTGTGTGACTTGCTTGACCTCATGGTTGATGAAAGGTCCCACGTGTGAGGCCTGAGACAAAGCAGGGAAAATGACTCAGCTGTTAGACTGCTGTCAGACAGGACTCAGCTCCTGTCTCTTTGGCACATACAAGACCAGGCAGCCCCTTGAAAGGATCAGCTCAGCCTCACAACTAGTCTAACAGTGCAGTGTGGCTGTAAATCAAAGTGGTACAAACATTTGTCGGCCCATTAAAAATTATCAGGAATAAATGTATAATCTGTGGAGCCTTTAAAATAGGTTCACTTAACTTTTATGTTAGCTCTTGTCAAGGGCACTAAAGGCTGAGAAATAGTGGACTTATCAGCAGTGATGCATCTAATTCTGCAAATTACAAGATTATTCCCAGAGGCAATGCTTTCAGGGAAGGCATCATTGAAGTTCTAGGAAGGGTGCTTGTGGCAATGAAACAACCTGTCTCTGGAACACACTGTTCCTTTTACTTCATAGGGTCTCAGCAAGGATGGCTCAAGTAGGAAACACATGGATCCCCATCCTCTTTAGGTGCCCACCTCTGTAGGGCTAGAGCAGGAGTGAACAAGCACAGCTGGAGAAGGCAAAATCCATTGGAAACCTTACTCTAAGAAAGAGGAGCCTTGTATGTAAACAGGGCAAAAGGTTGTGGCTTTATTAGTGTTTATTTAGAATCAAGTATGAACGTTGTATATTGTATTTCTGTATTATGCACCTGGTTTTCTACTCTGAGACGTGAGAAGCTTAATTTACAAAAACTTTTTTCTCACAGTATCGACCAAGGCATAGCCAGCATCTGGTAAGGAACTGGGTGTTAAGTATTTGATAGCATGATAGGGGAAAAGGTACTGTAGGAAGGAAACCAGAGTAGGTTGAAGATCTGCATTATTTCTTTGCAAAGGTTTTTACTGATATCACTCAGCAGGGTTTGTTAGTGCATAAGACAGTACCTCTCCTAAATCTACTAAAAAGTGTTTTGTTACCCTTCCATTGGTTTGATGTGCTATAAACCAGATTTAACATCAAACTAAGTGTTTGCAGAGAAGTACACATCAGTGGCTGTAATAAAAGTAACTGGGACAGGACTACTTAGCACGAAGTTTAAGGTGTTATCCACTTTGAGACTGCAGTAAGGGAGGAAGTGCTTAGTGCAAACTGCAAGGGTGCACTCTTGCGGCTAGGAGGTGCCGTACAGGGAATAGATGGAGTTGAAATAGCATTGTTTGCTAGGACATTGAATGCTTTTGCACTCAAACAGAAGAGAGATCAGCTCTACCAGAAAACTTTCATGTCAGCATCAATGTATTGTTCCAGTTTCCAGTTGCTGAAGCTTTGGTTTGCTCTGATGCAAGGTGTTTGTACTCCTATTTCCCTGAACAAAAGAGCACATGCTGTTGGGTTTTTGCTTCTCTTGTTAAATGTGCATAGCTGCATCCTGACAGCTGTTTCTCTGTATGATTGTAGGAGGGGAGCTGTCGCAGGGCAAAAATGAGTGGAGGCAGCCAGCTGTCTCCCTGAGGCACGCTGCTTGCTTTAGTAAGCTTTGAAAACCATGAAACTCTGTCTGAGACAGGGTCCTTCTGCTATTCTGAGACTGAAAAATATTTAGCATGAATCTCCCATTTCACTTCTGCCTTTTAGGGGCCCCTATGCTATAAATATGTGCTGCAAGTTTTCTTGTGGAGGAAGACAAGGCTATTTGCAGACAGTATGTAAAAACTTTTGAGACAGTGTGTAATTAGGTTGCTGGCAGGGTCTTTCAAACATTTCTTACCATGTTTTGCAAAAGAAACAGTAGTCAGCTGACAGCTGTCAGTAAGTAATGTAAAAAGTTAGTATGGAATAAATATGGAGAATATTGCAGCAATCTACCAGCAGTTGGCTTTGATTACACCTGTAACAGAAGAATCCCAGGTACCAAAGCCAGCTTCTGATTTTTCAAGCTTTTTTTCTAGAAGGAAAAGCAGTGCCATTGGAGCTTGATTAATTAACTGGAAAGAGTGCCTTGGAAGGTCACAATTTCACAGTGATGTTAAGTAGAATTATTATGAAGTTCTTTGTTTTGAATATTTATCATATTAGCAAATGAAGTAGGGACGTAGGTTTGATCAAGATAAATCTGAACAGTTTCCAGGATTCCGTGTTGAAAATAGCTGGGAAAAAGTGAAATAAATTGAATATTAAACAAGGGAAGAAGTAATGGAAAATTAATGACTGCTCCTCAAAACTGAATTTTTCCACTGTGAAAATGTAGTATTTTAATCAAATGAAATAGATTTAGAACATGAACATGAACATATTTTCCTCTTACTGTGTTAAATTGTAACCATTGCCAGTGGCTCTGCAATGGAAGCTGTGTGTCAGACTGCCATATGCTGCATTCACACGATGAAATTCTTGGCAGATAAAGTCCTCATTGACTGTAAAAAGGGAAATATTACTCCCCTTATTAATAAAGTGAGAAAGGAAGACTTGGGAAACTACAGACTGCTGGAGAGCTACCGATTGGTGAGCCTCACCTTTGTACCTGGGAAGACTGTAGAACAAATCCTCCTGGAGGATATGTTAAGGTTAGTGTGGCTTAACCAAGGGCAGATTGTGTGTCACCAATCTGGTGCTCTTCTGTGATAGAGGTGGACAAAGGAACTGATGCTGTCTACCTGCAAGGTCTTTGATATGGTCCCACACCGTATCCTTACCTGTAAAGTGGAGAAATTAAGTTTTTATGATGTCCATATAGAGCTGGACCATGGAACCCTATGGCTCTATGTCCGTGTAGAGGCTAGTGATGAGCGGTGATGTCCCTTGGGCATCTGTTTTGGAACTGATGTTCTTTTATGTCTGCATTAATGTCCTACACAGTGGGATCAAGTGTACCCTCAGCAGTTTGCTGATGACACCAAGCCAAGTAGTGCAGTTGATACAATAGAAGGAAGGGATTTCATCCTGAGGAATCTGGACATGCCTGAAAAGTGAGTCCATGTGAACTTCATCAGGCTCAACAAGGCCAAGCGCAAAGTGTTGCTGTTTGGTCGGGGTAATTCCAGATACACATACAGCCTGAGAGAAGAACTCACTGAGAGCAGCCCTGGGGAGAAGGACTTGGTGATTCTGGCAGATCAAAGACTTAACATGAGCCAGCAGTGTGCTCTTGAAGCCTGAAAGTAACCTGGGTTGCATCAACAGGGGAGTGTCCAGCAGGACAAGGGAGATGATTGTCTCCCTCTACGGTGCCCTTTTAGGACCCCATCTGAAGTACTGCATCCAGATCTGGGGTCCCCAGCTCAAGAAAGATGTAGAGCTTTTGGAACAGGTCCAGAGGAGGGACATGAAGATGGTCAGAGGCCTGAAGCACCCCTCCTATAAAGACAGGCTGAGGCAGCTAGGCTTCTTCAGTCTGGAGAAGGCTCCAGGGAGACCTCATTGGGGCTTTCCACTACTTGGAGGAAGCTTGTAAACAGGAAGGAAATCAAGTTTTTACACAGGTGATAGATTAAGGAGGAACAGTTTTAACCAAAAAGAGAGGAGATTTAGCTTAAATAGGGAAAAATATTCACTGGGAGGGTGTTGAGGTGCTGAAACAATCTGCTCAGAAAAGCTGCAGATGCCCCATTCCTGGAGGTGTTCAAGGCCAGGTTGAATGGGGCCCTGGGCAACCTCATCTAGTGCCTGATTTAGTGGTTGGCAACCCTTTCTGCGGCAGTGGGATGTTGAAACTAGATAATCTTTGAGTCCCTTCCAACCCAAAGAGGTTCTGTGGTGCAGCACAGCATAGCAGTTGTAAAAAATTAATTCCTTAGCCCACAAAAGCTGGAGCTGAAGCTAATACTGGAAAGCAGGTGAAAGCTGTATGAACCACAGAAAGAATAAATATTTATTTTGTAATACTTTGAACAACAAAATAGATGTGATAAAAATTAATAGTTTTTGTCTACAAATAATACTCTTTGCTTGAACTTTATAGTGCAATTTGAAGTGTATTATCTGAAATAACACATCAGCTTGGTAGGAGAAAACAACCTTTGCGTTCTTTGTAAGGAACTGTCTTTGAAGATCCAAGCTTTCTTCTGGAGGAATACAGACCCATAATAGCTGTGATTACATGATGAGAATGCTCCATGTTTACCTCGTTGTCACTGACTTGTGCTGAGGTATCTTCCAAAAAAGCATGCTGCTTGCATTGACCTTCTGGAAAACAGCACTGATGTCTTAATATTTTAATATTTTTAAGAATCTTTCCACTCCTCTCCAAATAGGTTTTTGGATGTTTTGTCGTGTTTGGTTTTTTGTTGTTTTTTTGTGTGTGTGTGTTCATATTTTATAGACTTCCAATGCAAATCTGATCTGAGGAGTAAAAATAACCTCTTAAGTCAGCTAGCTCAATCCGCCACGAGCCCCTGTCTGCCACTGAGGTGGGCATCTCTGCTTTCAAGGCCAGTTTCAGCCCTCTGAGAGTCACTGGCATGACTGAGAGGCAGGATCCCACTGTGGCAGACCGAGCTGCGGTCAGCAGGCCCAGGTGATGATTTTCTTTGAAATCCGTTCCTCTCACGCCATCTCCTGGTCAGCTCTTCGAGGTTAACTTAGATCTGAAATCCTTCTGCTAACCCTTCTCTGGTCCGTTCCCCGCAGGAAGATGTCCTTGTTTGTTGAGAATATCACCATCCTCTTTCCATGTTGTTCCTGTTGCTTTCCTCTGGTGCGTGATGAACAGCAGACACGTTGCTGATGGCACTTGCTTGTGAATAGACGTGTTGCAGAAAGTTGCCTGTATTGAGCATGGTCTGCTCACAGCTGTACACGTCACACCATGAGCTCCATCCTCATTTAGATACACAGCAGTTCTGCATAAGCAGAAGTTACCTTGATGAGCACAAGGAGTCAGTGATCTAATCAATGCGCCCATGAATCATTTATGAATAGAGAGGAAATTGTTTCTTCAACAGACTTTGGAATTGCCAGAGACAGTGATTGTCTGAGAAGTCTGGATATAAGGAAAAAGTCTTTTACAGAGAGGGTGGTGAGGTGCTGGAACAGGTTGCCCAGAGATGTGGTGGATGCCCTGTCCCTTCAAGGCGAGGCTGGATCAGGCCCTGAGCAATCTGCTCTAGCTATGGATGTCACTGTTCATTGCATAGGAGTTGGACTAAATGACCTTTAAAGGTTCCTCCCAACTCCAAGGATTCTGAGATTCTATGAACTTGAACTCTTATCTTCTGCTCCAGGAAGAGTCTGTCTTCTGTAGCTAGGAAGGAAGAGTGAAAATAATGACTATATTTCACATTTAAAGAAGCTAGAGGAGTTCTACACATTCCCCCACCCCTCAGACTGTTTTATGTGGGTTATAATCATACTCTCTTTATTTTTATCTTGTGTGGTGTGTGGGGGAAAAAAAAAACAACAGGAACAACTGGTAGTTCTTGGTAGCTCCTATAGTGCTCTATTGCTTGGTATGTGGCCCTCTGTATCTGACTCGCAGAGGAGACTGAGGAGTTGCAGTTTGGGCTGTGAAGCTGTCATGCAATTCTATGGGCACCAGGTAGGAGTGACGGCCATTTAGAGTGCTCATCTGTAGCTGTTAGATAAGCTGTATTTCCAGAAGGTGCCAAATACATGAAATCAAAGGGTTGGCTTCAGAAAGTCTGAAGTCAGTCTGAAATGTAAACCTTTGTCCTCATAGAAGATTAACAAAGCTTTTAAAAAGCTTTGTAGTTTTTGAGTTTTTGCTTCTAGCCAACAGCAGAAGCTCCAACCCCTGAGAAATAAACGTGTGTGGGCTTCTCTCCCATGCCATTCTTCCCCTTAAGCAGGGCAGTGAAAGGCTGACTTGAGATTCGGTTCTTCTGGATGTGCAGTAATGGCATTTAGAGATATTCTGTGTGACTAATCAATCTCAAAAACAACAGGAGCCTGATGACTGGAGCTATGGCTGCTCCCCTTGAAGAACAATGCAGCTCTCAGCTGTGCTAAGAGCTGCACATCTGTTGACACATGAAGCAGTGGGCAATGCCACTGAACAAGTAAGGATATAAGAGACCCAGGGCACACTGAGTGATAGCCATCAGATCAACATGACTGAGACTGGTCGTGGCAGTGCTGCACTGGATTAAGAGATTACTGTATTTCACTGCTTTTCTTCCATCTCTCTTGGTAAGTTGTGCTCTGCCAAAATAACCACACGTGTAGGCACTCCCTAACCTAGTTCTGTCAAAATGATGCAGGTTAGGTGCTGCTGATGGGTTTTTTTTGTTTCTTCTTAATAGGGAATAAGGAGCCTCAAGGCCCGGTTCCCTCTTTTGGCCCTTTCTCAACTTCTATTAGAATAACAGCATGTGACATCCAAATTATACCCTGTTGAAGTGTGTGTGATCAGCTCTTGATTGGAATGCCTCTGTAAGTAAAAGAAATGGAACAAAAAGCATGAGATCTTATAAGCAAACAGTCCCTCAGAAATCTGCCAGTTCCTGGAAGAGTTAACTCATTTAAAAACCTTTTAGTGAGAGATATCAGTGACGTGGATGTGTTTGCAGCAGCTGTGGATGTTGCAGTAACAATGAGTGGAGGCAGTTTATCAGCACATCAGTTATTTTCCTGGTATAAAAAGGAGCTTTAATTGGACGACCAATGATGGTTTTTGATCTAATGATGAAGCTATCTGGCCATCACAAAATTATCTTTCAATGAGCTCATCTGTTTTGCAAGGAAGAAACTCATAATCTCATAGAAAGGAAAATGTGCTGCCTATTTTTAGTCACTGATTTTATTTGTAAGGAGTATCATGACTTCACAAGCGCAGCGGCACCAATCTCCCTGGTAAAGCATTTATCTTAATCTAAAGGGAGCTGTTTGCAGCAAAGCCAGCTCCATGCTTAAGAGGGCCATTGAACAGATTTGCAGTGCTGCCTCTCATTTGCCTGTAAAAGCACCCGATGGTTCAGCCTGTCCTGAATGCACAGCAGCCCAAGGGCCAGGCCACTGCGTGCAGCAGAGACAAATGGAAAATGAGTTAATCAGAAAGCAGAGGTGGCTAGTGAGCCAGATCTATGGAACCAGACCTGCTTGTTAGTTAATTCCAGTCATTCAAAGCCTCAGGTGCGGGTTTGATGCGACACACATCTTCAGCCAGACGTGGAACCAACCTTGTAGGATGCATGCATCCGGGGGATGGCACCAGGGCCACGAGGGCTCTGCAGGAAGGGAGCATGGGTGCACAGCATCTGCACTGCTGCTCTACCTGGCTCTGGGCTTCCTGCCTTGCAGCTGCAGCATCTACTGTCAGCTAGCTCAAGGGCTGCAGCTGTCTGGGAGAGGATAATTCAGCCTTGAGTCATGCAGGAACAGAAAGAGGAGCAGTGCTCCCTTTTCTCACTCTTTGCTTGCTTTCAGCCTGTGCTACTGTAACCTCCCCTTTTGGGCCCTGGGCTCGGTGACTAAAAAGATAAGCAGATTGGTCCAGGAGGATAAGCTATGACTGTGTCAGCTGGAAAGGCCAGATGTAATAGCGTTCCTTTAAATCATAATCCTTCATGTAGTATCACACTTGGTTGTCATAGAAACTGTGACATCACTGAGATTTACAGCTCTGATCCAGCAGAACGGTGGAGCATTTGCTTTTAATATAAAGGATGTGCTTAAATCCCAGTTATTTTTATGGCACTGCTTGTCTGTCTAGGAAAGAAAAAAAAAGCCTACACTTGATTTTTTTTTTTTTTTCCCTAGATGGGAGTGATGTGACACAGTAAAACATCCTGGTTGCTTTAGTTAAACCCAATCAGTGTTTGTGTGTCGCAGTCATCAAAATTACAAATACAGGGCGGATCTAGAGATAGTGCAAGCATGAGATTTCCTAAGTGAATACGTTGCAAATTGAATATTTGATTAGATCTCCTCACCATCTCTGCTTCTGCAACCTGAAAAAGTGTTAGGACAAGCTGGGTTGTTTTCATAACTACCTCCAACACTTAAGATGGAAATTTTAGTTTTCTTGACCGTATGGAGAAAAGAGATTTTTTAAAAGAATCTAGAAAATGTAGAAGTTTGGTCATAATCTCAGTCCAACACAAGCAGCCGTACTGCCAAGTTAAGTAACTATTTGGACCTACCTGCTCACATGGTATTTACATTTTTCTTTTCAAACCTGGTTTCTGGGTTAAGTGTTTAAGAATGGCTGTTCTCATTTTTGAGGTATTTTTTAGCACGCTAACCAGCTGAGAAGTATGAACGCATTCCCCTGCCGCCAGGGAAGCAAACAAATTGGTGCAAAGGCGAGGCGTTGTTCTGCCAGTGTTGGGCAGGCAGAAATGGTGGTAATAACTTCACAATTAATGCAGTGCGTTTGTGACACTTTGTGACAGCACAGAAACAAGATCCTAAAGCTTCTATGGGAAAAAGCCAGCTGGATCACAACTCGCTTCCAATTCAGAGAATTCTTGTAGCTTGTAGGCAGGTCTTTCTGCTTGCTACGATCCACCAGCTGGTAGATCACCGGTCCTAAAACCTCCGTACAAAAAGCTGAATGCGTGTGAATGGAAAAAAAAGACTTGAAAACACTACCAGCTTTTCTCCGTGCCTGGAGGGGAAGCCGTACATCCTCCTATGACTGTGCGAAGAGAAATCACTAATAGCCTCCTCCTGAAGGTAAGGGCGAATGCCTGGCGCTGTGGGACCGCCTGCTTCCATCCGTCCGTGCAGCACAGCGGCTCGGCGCCGGGTGGCAGTGCGCGCTCGCTGCATTGCGCCGCGTTACCGACAGGAGCGGCCGGGTGCCGCTGGGCACGGCGCTGCCGGGGCTGGTAGAGCTGGTAGGGCTGCCTCAGCTGCGCCACGAACTGACGCGGTGTGGTGAGGCTGGGTGAGACATTTAGCTCGTGTTTTCTTTCCGCTTTGTTTTTCTCACTTAAATGTTCCGCTTCCTTTCTAGATATCAATGCTAAATAAACCCGTCATGGAATCGCAGGGGTTGGAAGGGAACTCAAGAGGTCATTGAGTCGAACCCCCCTGCTAAAGCAGCTCCCTACAGATTGGCATCCAGGTTGGTCTGGAATATCTCCATAGAAGGAGACTTCACCACCCACCACCTCTCTGTTCCAGTGCTCTGTCACCCCCTTACCATAAAGTTCTTCTGCAAGTTTGTATGGAACTTCTGTTTTCAAAGTTTAGGTCATTACTCCTTGTTCTATCACTACACACCACTGAGAAGAGCATGGCCTCATCCCTTTGCCCCTTTAGGTATTTATTACCATTAATCAGACTCCCCTCCCTCCTTTTCTCCCTCCCCAGTCTTCCCCAGGCTGGACAGACCCAGGTTACTCCTCATCCTTTCCTCATATGGGAGATGCTCCAGGCCCTGTATCATCTTTGTGGCCCTCCATTGGACTCCTTCTAGGAGATCCCTGTCTTTTTGGAACTGGGGAGCACCTGAGAACTGAACACAGTATTCTAAATGTGGCCTCACCAGGGCAGAGTAAAGGGGAGGATCACCTCCCTCGACCTGCTGGCTGTGCTCTTTTTAATGCACCCCAGGATACCACTGACCTTGTTGGCCACTGCTGGCTCACGGCCAACCAGTTGTCCAACAGGACCCCCAGGTCCTTCTCCACAGAGCTCTTCTCCACCAGGTTCCTCCCCTAATCTGTACTGATGCATGCAGTTATTACCTACACTTGCCCTCATTAAACCTCATCAGGTTCCTCCCTGCCCAAATGGGAAAGGGTGAGGGGATTTACAGCATGATCCCAAGCAAGATGGAGTGTAATGGTGCTATAAAATCATAAATCAATGGGAAACCATCATTTACTAGGCTTGTGGCTAAAAATCAAGGGATTTTTTTTTTACTTCTGATTTTTACAATTTTCCATACCTCTTGGAATTATTTCCCGTTATTCAAAATGCCTCTCTGTCATCTGATAATGTCACTTGTCTGTCTCTGCTGGACCACTATGAAAGCCTCAAGAACAGCTCTGACACAGCAGAACCATCATCTGTTTTAAACGTGCAAATATACCTTTCTCTGCTCAGTAACTTGCTGTTTTTATTTCTTCTGCACAATTAAGCCAGTTGTCAAGCAATGTGGTTACTGTAATGTCAAAAGTAATGTAAATTAGTATATTTTTACAGATTGTTATGATTTAGTCTTTTGTTTGAAGCCAGATATGTTGGTTCTGCTAGGTCACTTTTATTGAATGATTCTGATTTGCACACTTTTGTCACACTTATATATGGAAAAGTCAGATTTACAGAGTTGTAATTGCGGGGTTTGTTCTTCTCTGTGTTTCATCTTGTGATTTATTCTGAGGCTGCTGCTTTCTGGGATGTTTTCTGTGACTTTTTCTCAGTAATCACGTAACTTCTCTTATAGCATGTCAGAGACTGAGTCAGACTGTCAGTCTTATGACAGAGAAAATTCTCATCTGTCCTTTTTCCCTTGAAGTTAAGAGGGTCAGTTATTAAAAATGTACTTCACTATTTTTTTTTAGTGCTCTCTACCAAGCTCGATTTCTTGTGTGTTGGATATTTAAGGGTTACTGGATGCAAAGTATGTAAAAGATCCAATACCAGCACTTTGCACATCCGGAATTGTTGTTTATGGACCCCTGTGACCTCCAAATCAGAGACTGATTGAAAGTCACTAGCCTAGCTCACCGATGTTTTAATTTGAATGGATAGTGTATGACCTTGGGTGAAGCATGGCCTGCCCTGTTGTGATGATAGTGGGAAAAAATGCTTATGTGGTGCACTAGGGAGCAACTTATGAACTCACATCAACTCTTTTCTATGAAAAAAAAGCCTTCAGAATGAGCTCAAATGGATGTGCTTCTCCAGGGGCCCCAGGCCTAGAGCCCCCTGCTAGCCTCACTCCTCCATGTTCCCTGTAAGCATTGCCAGCACACAGGAGTGGACAACACTCCAAGTGTGGACACTGACAGCTCCATGGTGCTTTTTATGCTCCCCTTCAGCAAGGAGGGTGCGAGGGTTGGAATATGGCCAGAGATGGTGCAGTTGGGACTGTTCCAGATTCATAACAAAGCTTCTGTGGTGTAAGCTCCAGACCTGGGGACTTGGGGTATCTTGCCAACTCAGATCCCTGGCCTGATATTTTGAGTACTGATAGATTTAACTGTTACCCTGCTTATCAAAATAAGGAACAAGAAAGGGAAATGTTGCATCTTTAACTGTTCTTAAGGTTGCATCTTAGCAATTTTAGTCCTCTGACGATCTGCTCATTTACCTGCCTTGCCCTCCTCCCAAGGAGGCATTCAGCAAGACTGAGACTGGCATCTGACCTCTGCTTCTGTCCATCCCTTTTAAGCTGCTGTGCTGACAAGGGAAGATAAGCTTGCTGAGCCCCTTAAGGCTTATGTCTCTGTGTGGACTGCAGAGAAGGGTTGTGAGTCCCAAGGAGTCCAGGGAAGTTGTTCTGTTCTTATGCTCTGAATGATGCTGCATGCAGCCACCTCTCCTGTCAACCAGATGAGGTTTTGGAATCATGATAACAAGTTTTCTTTCTTTTTTTTTCTATGGCTCATTCTGCTTTGTTATTAAATGGCAAGCTTCAGATATAGCTGCATGATTCCTTACTGCCTTCATAAATGTGTTTTTAACCTGCTTTTAAGAGGCTGCATGGGCCATGAAGAGCACAAGTTGTATTCCCTCACAGTGCATTTTGAAATACTTGCATGCCAAGAGTTTGGTTTTGGATATACTTGTACAGCGGGTTCTAATGCCCATCTGCAGCACTGCAAGACTGTGATTAACATGGCTTTGCTTTCCTCAGATACTTTTTGCCAATAAATCAATTCCTGAAACTTTCACATGGAACAAAATCATACTTGTTTTGCAGACGTTATTTAACTTTTGAATGTTCTGAAACACATACTGCTTAGCTATATATGTGTATGAATACAGCTAGAATGACAAATCTGCAAACGGTGAAGAAATCTGCAGAAAGATTATTGTTGTTTTCTATACAGGTTTGCAAATGCTTTTTGCTGGCTAAGCAACACACTCTGAGGAGGAACCTATTGGACTCAGCTGTCAAAACCACAGGGATGGACTCAGAATTGGGACTGGAAACTACTTCAGCAGTGTGAGACCATTCTGGGTAAAGCTGTGTTACCTTGCTAGGGTCTGTTTAATATTAAAGCTTGTGGCTGTAAAATAAGTGTCTGCTGACATGCTTTGCCACCTACCCCTGTCAAAATTTGGGCTCTGTTTGCCTAAAGTTGCTTTAGGGTGGATTGGTTTCAAAAGGATATTCTTCAGCTGTCGCAGCCTTTAAAATTCAAGGAGGTATTTGAGGAACTAAGCAGTCTTGGCTCCATTGCTTGCTGTGTTTCTTGAAGCCGTATTGTACAGCAGTGTTTTAACTTTCATGCACTGACATACTGTTTTCCTAAAATACTTTGAAAGCAACTTCGTTATTGAAGCTATGACTTGGTTGCTCAGAGCTCAGGAGTTGACACAAAGGTGTGGCTTTAGTAACTGAGGCAGCTTGGACTGTATCTTGGAAAAGCCGGATCTTGTTGACTCACTGTTTCTGCCTTGTCTGAGGTTCCAGCTGAGCTTTCCTGCCTCATTTTTCTCCATATGAGGACATCCACTATTATTTACCTTTTCTGGGCCTGCATTCTTCTGCTGCCTGTGAAAAAAATTGCTTATTCGACACCAAGATCAACTATTACCAAATTGCCTAATATAATCGTACTGTGTGCCCAGGCTGGATGTGGCTCTGGGCAGCCTGGTCTGGTGGTTGGTGACCCTGCAGTAGCAGGGGGTTGAAGCTAGATGATCGTTGTGGTCCTTTTCAATCCAGGCCATTCTATGATTATCCATCACTAAAAAACAGTTTAGACTTCCCTCCCATCTCATTAACTTTGTTTTTTTCTTTCTTCTGCTAAGGTTTGGGGTTACAAAAGATCAGGATCTTACTTTTAAAATGCCACTTCCTTCTTTCGTGCTTGCTATTTATCTCAGATAAGAATTAAATAAAGGCCCTTTCTAAGGGCTAAGCTGTAAGTGACAGAAAAGAAACAAACAAAAAACCAACCCACAAGCACAGAACCATAAGCTGTTCTCAGAGAGTCCTTTGATAGGCACAAACACTCACCTGAGTGTGCAAATGCTTCAGTCAGAGGTTAAGCTGGAAACACAGCACGCCTGAAAGAGGCATTCACAAGAACAATAGAACTAAAATACACTGAGATCCATCTGTGCTCTTTCAAGGTCCTTTCTATCAGTCCTAGACAGCTTCTGATGCTTCCATCAAAGCTCATCCATCCTACATCATCATTCGTTTCCTTCTTATGAGCTCATCCTGGACTCCTCTTCATCCATTGCTGCTTGGCTCTCTGTCCCACCAGGGATGTAACTAGCTGATATGCTGGAGACAGAACCAGCAGTAAATACTAATGGAAAAAATCATTTTGGTCTGAACTTTTTTTTTCTTGCCAGTTCTGTTTGAGAAAGCAAGGAGGAATCTTCTGTTTTCTGACAGTTTCAATTGAGGGCTCTTAAGAAACTTGTTCTAGATAAAGAAATAAAAGAAACGGAGGACTATGAAGGCATGTCCTCTTCCTAACAGAGAGGTTTGGTTGAACTTGCAGACTCATGGAAGGGGAAATCTAGTTCTGTAATAAATAGAGGGAGGTCCCCATGATGTCAGATGTACAGATAGGAAAGAAGGCAGAAGATGATGGTGCTTTCAGGCAGTATCGATCAGGGGAACTTGAGAGTGTCTGTAATCACTGGAATTTAATGCAGTGCTCCCGAGGCTCTTTATCAAGATTTATTTCCTTTATTATCTAGAAATGTCAGGTCTTTTCCCATGTGCATTCATTTTGGTTTCGGGGAAAGTCAGGATTTCCTAAGTCATCCTGTGACCAGCATAGCATTCATGTCAAAGCCCTGGGCAAGTCCCTAAAGGAAGGACTGAGTCAGACACGATGAACAGCTCTCTACACCTCTGAAGCAGTTTCTGTGTTGCAGAGAACAAGGCATCCCCAGTGCGTGTTCTCAAGGACTTCAACAAAATGAATTCACAGGCAGAGATGCAGTGTCACAGCATTGCACAATGCCTACTAAATATGGAGGAGTGCAACAGAATGTCGGGGAGTGGTGGCTGTGCAGCTGCATGTTGCTTCTTGAAGCCTGCAACGAAAAGGCAGACTGAAGGAACAGGGGAATGTTTTGCCAGACTTAAACAGCATATGGCTTGCAGGCTGTGCTTGGCCAATGTAGCAGTTTGTTTGGCCTGCCAGATGGCCGGGAGACGCCATGCTGCTTGCATGGCTGGGTGCCTTCCACCAGCTGGGCAGCCAGCACAGGCATGGCACCTCCCAGCCAGCCGGCACTTCCTCACCCTGCAGCTGCCCAAAACCTGGGTGTCACAGGCAGCAAGAGACACAGGGAGGGCAGGTGGGTGGGAACCTTGCAGGTGGACAGGGAGAACGGGAGACCGGAGGTAGAAATAGAGACAGTTCTGGGAAGGGTGTGACAAAACAGTCGTTTGAACTTGCTGAGCCTACCTACCTCTCTGCTGTAGTGAGGCATTCTAGGCCAAAATCCCATTGTGTGAGTGAAATAGGGCTGAGTCACCAGATTCATTCCTCTGCTGTTTCATGCATCACATCATGTAACACATAACAAGGGCTGGTTGGTTTGGTTTTGTCTCCAGTGTTCCCACAGAAAGGCTCTTCCAGGTCCTCCCTTTCCAATAGGTAGACTTGTAATTTTCTGCTGTTTATTTATGGCTTATTTGCCATTACACTTAAATCTTCTTTGTGATGATACCTCGACAGACAACTGTCCTATTTGCTCCATTGTCACTTTGCAGGCTCCGCAGTCAGAGCCAATGCAGTTGAGCCCTTCTAGGAAAGCTGAGTCGCACTCACTTTACAATAGGCATCTTTCAAATGATACTTGAGGGAAAAAAGAAATAATAAAACTGTATCTTTCTACTCTCCTTGGTTTTCCTGGCCTTTTTCATGCAGAGATTTTAGCTACTGTTGCTCCTTCCTGGCCTCTGTGGTAGCAAAGCATGGTCTCCATGGGGAAGGACAGGAGCTGTCAAGCCCACAGATGGAAGTGCTTGGAGCTGGGCCTGCACTTGACTGTTTTTCTGGATTGAGATAGGAGCTCTCACCACTTGAAAAGATCCAGGTTGTGGTTTGTGTAGTGCTGCCAGTTCCTCTGGAGTTAAGGAGTTTTATATAAAACATCAATTTTTGCAAAGGAAAAGGAAAAAACATCAGGTGTGTGCATGTGTGTGTGCAGTACATTAACTAAAAGATGCTTGGGAAACAGCAAAAATTCTCTGCCATGGTGTGACTTCATTGCAGCCATCCCTTTGTGCCATTTGAGAAATAGTCCTCGTCCCCAAACACACAACTGTCAATGGATAAAGCAGTGACGGAAAGTGTTGGAGGAGGAGGGAGGATACAGAGCGGACTTGACCTGGCGAAGCAGAGCTAGGAGCAGCCTCTGTCCCTCAGTGTTGTGAGCATCCACTTTGCATCCACTCAGACTTCGGGGGAGGGGAGAGAGAGAAATATATGAACTGTTACAGAGGAACTTCAACGAAACGCTCGTGTTTGTGCTTTTTTTAATTGGCCTCTATCGCCTCATTTCAGCTGGACGCGGAGTTCTGTTCGTACCAATCCATCGGGACACGGGCTGACTTCTCGCAGCGGCGGTGGGACCGCGCGTGGTGCGGAGCGCAGGTACGTGATGGCGGGGAGCGGGGGGCGGGGCGGAGCACAGCCCGGGGGCGGCGGCGGGGCGGAGCGGGGACGGGCCCGGCCAGCCCTGCTGCGTGCGTCCCGGGCCGCGGGGCCGGCCTAGCGCGGGGAGGGCGGGGCAGGGCGGGGCGGGCCCGGCCTGGCCCAGCCCGCCGGGAGGAAAGGGAAGGGGGAACGGGCAGGGGAGCGAGCCGCGCCGTCGCCCTTCGGAGAGAGCGCGGGGTGCGGGAGGCCGCGCGAAGGGCCGCCGCTCGCCGTCCCCCGCCGCTGGGGCTGCCCCGGGCCCCCGCCCTCCGCCATCTTCCGCCCCGCAGGCGCGGCCGGGGCCGGGCCGAGGCGAGGCGGCGCGGGCCCGGGCCCGGGCCCGGAGATGAGGCCAGGATGTCGGTGTCAGGGCTCAAGGCCGAGCTGAAGTTCCTCGAGTCCATCTTCGACAAGGACCACGAGCGCTTCCGCATCGTCTCCTGGAAGCTGGACGAGCTGCACTGCCAGTTCGTGCTCCTGCCGCCGCCGCCGGGCTCCGGCCCTCCGCCGCCGCCGCCGCTCACCATCCACTGCAACATCACGGTGCGGACCGGGGGCTCGGCGCCGTCCCGGGGGGCGCGGGACGACCGGGGGTCGGGTGGGGGGTTCCGGCCTCCGCCGCCTCGGGGCCGCTCGGGCTGCGCGCTGCCCGGGCCCGCAAACAAAAGTTCGGGAGCGGGCGGTCCGCCTCGGGCCGGAACAAAGGGCGCGGGGGAGCCGGGCCGGCCGGGGCCGTGCCGGGTGCGCCGGTCGCTGCCGGGCCGGGCGGGGGCCGCTGGTCTTCGTTGCCGCGTGTTGGGGGCTGGCGGCGCGGCGGCCGTCTCCTGTCGGGGCTCCTCGCTGCGCTGGCGGCGTTTAAAGTTGTGCCGGCAGCGCTGTCAGACGTGAGGGGCTCTGTCGTTCTCTCCTTTTTCTTCGGTGTTTGTTTTTAACTAGCAGGAGGGATGCGATATAAAACGTTCCGTACGCTAAGTCTTTAAAAGTTCACGGATAGGGCCTAAATCTGCCGAAGGGTTTGCGTGGATCGGTGTCCGGCTCGTGCACAAGTGCTGAAGGTCTCCGTGTCGCAGCTGTGAGCGGACCTAAACGCCCTATCAGCGTTCAGCTTAGGAGCAAAACACTGAAAAGTTTTGGCTGGGTGAGCATGCAGTCGCGCTGTGTGTTTGAGGGAGGTGAGCTCCACAGCTCTTCTGTCCTTTGCCTATAAAAGTATGCAGTTTCCAAGCAGTGTGGGGTGGAAACTTGTGCGCAAGTCCAAATATCTGAGTGCTCAAAAGATAGAAACTTGTGTGCAGACCAGGCAGGGCTGGCTGTCTTGGCAGGATGTTCGCTTGTCTTGAAGTTACTTTATTAAATAGAAAGAGACGTGTTAAGAGAGTTATAGTTTCACAGCTGACAGCCTGGGAAGTCAGTTCTGTGATCTGCTTGCTTTACCCCATACGCTTGCAAAGCCTGAGATGTCATTTAATAGTAAAGTCAGCCAAATACATCAATGTTCTTGTGTTTAGATACAGTGCATCAGACAAGTGATTGTGCGGCTTTTCTCAGGTATTATTTATGTAATAGAAAGTGTTTCGTTAGGGAGCAGCCTGTCTGTTTTCTCCCCACAGCATGATCACAACTCTCCTAACTCTCTTCCTTAAGAACTAAGGGGAAGGTCTGATAACTGTGTCCTCAGCTGGCAGCTGAGTTCAGTGCCTTATTCCTTGTCAGGTGACAGCTGACAGGGAAGCCTAGGAGGGAGGCCTGAAGAGCTTGGTGCCTTGGATTTGTGCTGTGGTGCATTTCTGCTTCTGACGCTTTTCTGCCCTAAGTATTTTCAGAGGCAATTCTCTTGCTCCAAATAGAACTCTGCCCTCTTGCTTACAGCCTTGGTTTGAGGTGTGCCCCAGCCATACAGCGAGATACAGGCTGAGGTATTGTCGTGTCTTATTGAGGAAATTGCAGCTGCAGTTGGCTACTGCAGTCACTTGCCCTAGAAATCAGGAGACTTTGTGTGTGCTGTCAGAACTGTGATATCTGCTTCCAAAAAAGATCAGGAAAAGATTTTTTCAAACTACAGACACAAGACTTCTGCTTTAAAAAGAAGTTGTGCCTGAACTTCTTGAAACTTGTGTTTCACAGTTGCCTGCAAGCAGCTTGGTTGTTCCAGGGTTGATTAATTTTTGGCTCTTTGAGGTGGGTGGCTATTTACTTACCTGCTAAAAATAAGTGGGAGAGGGCAGCTTCAGATGCAGGGGTGGCTCTCAAGAGGCAAGTGAGAAGCTCCTGGGAGAGTCAAAAAGAACGATAACTGCTGGACTTGTGTCCTGGGCTTTGGACTGAGGTGTTAGAGCTCACTATGAAGTTTTTCCTTCCTCCTCCTCCCCCAGCCAATGAATCTGTTGGCCCAGGCTCCTGCTTGCCTCCGGTTTATTTCTGTAGGTACTGTAAACTGGAAAGGTGTAACTCTAGTTTGCTGTGCTTCAGCTGATCTGCAGAGCTTCTGGAGAGCTGAATCAAGTTACCATGGGAGCTATAACTTGAAATTATGGTGCTAAAAAAAGCTGGTAAGGCTATAAAGATACTGGTGAATGTTTTCTTTGGGGAGGGCACTCACCCTCTGCAGTAGATGCTGCTACCTTAACAGTTTACATTTGCAGTGCACAGAGGTAACTTCGGTTGTTTGTTGCTTCCTACAAGTTTAAGCTCTACAATAATGGTGAAATTCTTGAGGCTATTTCTTGTACTCACCAAGAGCTTACATGGGTTGGAGCATCCGGGTAGTTAGGGATGCTGTTAAGAGGGAGAGAAGTGCAAGACTCAATAATTACTTTTTTTTGGTTGGTTTTATTCAGGCACCTCAGTATTTCAGCTGAAGTGAAAGCTGTCTAGCAGTGTGTACAGGCACTGAAGTTGGTGGATAGAGAATAATCTGGTAGGGAAGGGAGCTTCCAGCAGCTTCTGCACTGTGGCTGAAAAGAGACTTGGTTACTCAGTTGCTCCAGTTCTCACAACGGATCCCTTTATTTTCTTGGATCTAGAGAGAGAAGGCAGAGGACAGAGCAAACAGTCTCCTGGAGAGGTGAGGGAGAATCTGCTTAGGAACTGCATAGATCTCCTCCACCAGTGCCCTAGACTGAATTCCACAGCTCAACTAGGAATCAGCCCTGGGATTTCTAAGATGATATTCTGAGTGTCTGCAGTATGAGTTTGTGGAACTGCCACGGTTGCATTTGCTGCAGCGCCCTGGGACTGCTCTACCTGTGCTACTGAGCAGTGCTTGACTGTGTAGGGAGATGTGTTTTGCTTGATAGCTCTGCTACTTAATGAAGTATTTAAGTACTTAATGACAAACAAACATTTTCTAAATCTGCCTCCTTTCTGTTTGCTACCTGTGTTGGAATTTAAATGGTTAATTTGATTATTTTAAGAGACACTGTAGGGTGGAGTCATCTGTCAGAAACATTGCTTCTTGTGCCTCAGAACTGTCTGATTATTGAACTTGTTCAGGCTGTGCACCTTCACATTCCCTTTCTGTTGTGCCAGCAGTGGTGTCTCTGTTCTGGAGTCTGATTTCTGGTTTTTTTTTTCCTTTTTTTTTTTTTCTTCTTCCTTTTCAGGCTCTTTTCACATAGCAGTAGTATCCCATTTGAATTCAATAGCTAGTGTCCTTGCCAAGAGTATATATTCTTGTATTTTTTGAGGTAGTATCAAATCAGTGGCCTTACTCACAGTAGTGTGTTACTTACTGATCATTTAGGTAAGTGTTTTTACAATTTGCAGTCTCAGTTTGGTACCTTATGAAACTTAAAGTCACAGTATTCCAAGGTGTGGTACAGTTCAATCTTTAGCTTTTTCTCCCCCCTGCTCAATAGCAAGGCTGCTTTGGATTCTAAAAAACAAAGCAGCACATTTTTGTTATTTTTTCCCCCGGAAAAAGAATATTGTTTTTTAAATATATGCTGTGAAGAACCTCAACAATAGTATCATTCCAGTTGCACACAAAACTTCCACTGGAATCCTGAGTCCTTAAAGTACCTCTTGTAGGTAGGAATAGGGTTTGTGCCAGCTCTCTGTGGGAGTGGATTTTGCACCCAAACAGATCCAGGGCTGTGACATGTAATGATATCCTTCACACATCAGCAGTTTCAGTCCATGTGAGCAGGCTGACTCTGCTATACACTTGCTTCCCTGCTGGAGAGAAAAATCTCCTGCTTTAATGAAAAATACCCTGCTGCAAAATCAGAGTTGGAAGATACTTGGAAAGGTTCCTGTGTATAGATAACTGCAGTTGAGGGGAGAAAACTTTATTTTCCCTTCTAATCAAGAATGGATGGAAAGATGTCACCTTTGAAGCTTTTGGCAAGTTGTATACTGAAAGTGAGTATCCTAGAACATCGTATAATTCTTAAAAGGCACGAGGTTTCAATATTAAACACACTCCTAGCTAATGCCTGGGCAGCTGACAGACTTTTAAGGAGGTTATTTATTTGTATGCAGAACTAACCGCATGATGAACGAGGCTTCCAATTCAAACCACAGCTATGTTTTTAAACGTGACTAGGCACTCCATAGCAGGGCTGAAACCTTTGTCTTGCAGCGTGTGGATACAAGGGCTAAATAAAAGCATACACAACTCTACCTGGATAACACATATTTCCCTAACTAGAATTAATTAGATATTCTTTGAGTTCTAAGGAAGGCACTCAAGTAACTTAGGAAAGATAATGCTTGTACACTAGAAATTGTCCAGTCTTATTTATCAAAACAAAATGCAAAGACTGAGTGTTCTTCTCTTTCTATACCAAGGCTGTAATTGGAAAAGAAATACTGTGAGGAGGAGGAATGGTTTATCTCTAGAAGACGTAGGACTTAACTCTCTGATGCTACAGCTTAGCTGTGCTATGTGTGAAAAGCTGCAGCCAGCACTGCAGACTTTGCAGGCCGGTTGCACTCTTCCCTGTATAAGGTGTGAAGTGTGCCTAAAATATCCGAGAATGCCACAGTGGTGGGCTTCACATATCAGTGCTAGCATATGTTGAGGCTTTAAGAAATAGCACTTACTCCAAATAGGCTACTTACATGAATTACTTATGTAATTGTTTCAGAACTGGGACTGTTTGTTGTCCTCACAGGAGCTCTCTCTGCCTTTCGATAATTGGAAGAAGTTTTATGGAAAAGAATTATATTCTCTTTACTCAGCACGCTTCTTTGTTCACTGTTTGAGAGGCTTTTGTCCAAGACAGAAAGATACCTGGTAATTTTCATGAGTTTTCTGATTTTCTGTAACTTTAAAGAAGCTGCAACTTTGACTGGGGTTACTCATTCACTTCTTAAGAGTCATCTCATGGTTTGTGTTGGTTATTTGGTTTGTGTTGCCAACAATTTTCAGTTGGCATCTGTCATGGCTTTATGACTTTTCTTAGTGGATAGTGTCAAAATTGAAGTGTTAACAATTGGCATTACCTGTTAATCTTCTTATGCTACCAGAAAGAAGGAAGAGGATGCGCTGTTAGAATTGATTGATTTATTTTTTATTTTTTAGTTTTTTCCTCATTACT